TCAACCCCCCCCCCCCCCACAAACAACCAAAAAAAGAAACCTACTCTGTAGAAAAACAGATGCTCATGGCATCAATTTTTTGAAGATAGAATGAACCTTGACAGTCTATATGTACAAATATCATTCAAGAACTCCTCAGTAAACTCGATCGTTTTATGCTACTCCTAGATGACAATCTCAATATCACATCTAAGTACTAAACTAAGGCCCGAGAATTTCTAATTTTGCACGGCATGCCAAATTACTTATGGTATACCACATATATGTACTTTTACCTTATTGTGCATCATTTATAAAATTGTAAGCACGCCTTATTCATCCTAATATTTACGGTAATAGAAGACCACCGTATTTCATGATCTTTTGCAATTTACACATCATCTTTTACAATTTACACATCAACTTTCTTAGGTTTTTAGAAGGTCAGTTTGTGAGTGAGAGATCCTACCTTATTGGTCAACCAAAGGAGCAATTTTTCTCAAAAAATTCTCCTTTCTGAAAAAGGGTATAATAGAAAGAATGTGTATTAAAATCATCCTAGCACATCCCTCACTCTTTTTCCCCCAAGATTCACCCTGTAATTCTTACATAATCTCAGAAACTTCATCATTCAAACACAAAAGAACAGAGATTTTACCTGCTGCGACGCTTCTCCAAGAACTGCTGAAGCGACTGCCTCCTTGCAATTGGCATAGCTTCAAAATCCCATCAAAATTCCAAGTTAGAGATTTTACAGTCCACAATATACACATAAAGAACCCTAAAGAAGCAATTTTACCAGCTTGCAGTTTGCAAAGAGAACCAGCATTAGTATTAGCAGCTGAAGAGCTCTGCTGAGACAAAGACCTCCTCAGTGCACCACCAGCATTGGTCGCTGCTGAAGAGACTGCAGAGGCTGCTGCTGCAATCAACATGATTGCCTGAGCCTATTCCATAAGTTAACAACAAACAATCATCAAGAAATATTATGAAATTTGAAACTTTGATGAATGAATTAGATTCTTAGAATGGTAAGTTTCACAAAAATACTAAAACTATTAGGCGTTTTGCACAAAAAACCATAAATTATCTTTATTAGAAAAAAATAACAGAAACTTTCAAAAAAGCAGAATAATATATTGAATAATAACAGAAAATTACACGGTCATTTTATAATAAATGAACTTCCATTCTGTCAATAATTTAAAGTTCATGTTAAGTCAGTGATTTTATCTTTTAGTTCATAAATAGTTTTTAATGGTATGTTGTTTCTGCTTACTTCAGAATTCTTGATTTTTTTTCTTTTGATAAGAATATATTATGATGAGTAAGTCGCTAATTGATGAATATACTTGGGTAAATTCCACAAGCTACCCAAAACTATTAAGAACTTTTTGGCAAAGGTTTAAGAAAGAGAGGTTGGAGAAGGGTTAACAGAGTTAGGGTTAATTGTTAACCTGTTAAGATTTATTTTAACCATTGTGACCATGTTAAGTGTTTGGGAATAATGAGGAGTTTGAGTACTTTCTTTAAAAACATAGGGGTTATCATTTTAACCTTTCTAGAGAGGTTATCTTAACCCTTTTGCAATTTTTTTTGTTTTTAGCAAATTATAGAGGGTTAACTCACTTTAACCCTTGCACAGCTTTTTTGTGTTTTGTAGATTAACCCTTCCCTTAACCTGTGGCCAAACAATGCGGTTTTGCGAAAAATATCACAATTCATTTTTTTAGACAAAATAATACAAACTTTCAAATCAAACAGTACAAGATATCACATTATTAGTGAAATATAAATGTCTGGTAAGCTTTACATAATATCAAAAAAATTGAGATAATTATCTGACAATACCGCAATTTATAGGGTATAGCTTACTGACTTTACATATCCTAAAAAATTTATGGAACTTATTAGTGTTTATGGATAGTTTTTCTGCTGATTTGAAAATTTATGGTATTGTGCTCTAATAAAATAATAATTAATTTCCCCCCTAATATGTAATGATAAAAAAAAATTACTCAAATTAGAATCAAGGGCTTTACCTTTTCAGGAGTGACTCCATCATAGACGCTAATAGATCCATTGTAGAAGATGGTCAGCTGAGCTCCAGCAGCAGGCATTGAAGAAGGAGAAGACCTCCACATATCATCAAACAAAAGGGTCAATTTCAAAGCTACCCCTATTAAAAAGCTACAATTTTTACCAACAAATTACAAAATCCAAACAAAACCCATATATTCGATTTCAGTGATAAGTTAGAAAATGAGTACCTGTTGTTGTTCTCAGTATCTTCAGGCTCAGCGTTCTTCATCTCAGCTTCAGCTTTGGTTTGAGATTCTGAGAGATCCATTAAGACCCAATTGGGTTTTTTTTTTCCCCTCTACAGTTTTGATTTTGATTTGGATTAGGGATGTTGGGATTACTATAAAGTTAATTGTACTTGATGCTTATTCATTGAAGTATTTGAGTTGTTTGCTTGCTGAAGTTTTGAGGAAGAAGGAAAGAGACTAATAAAGGAAGAGAGTTTGATAAAGTTACCCGTGATTCCTGGGTGGATGTATTAATTGATGTACGTTTGTGTATAAATCTTTCACATGGATCCTCTTTTTGTTGTCTAATTGATTAATTTTCCTATGCATTTGCATTTTTGAGCCCTAGACTTGTCACTTTTTACAAGGTATTTTTCTTATTTTGCCATAGTTATGTGATTAATGATTTCAGTATTTTGCTTCTGTAATTAAGATCATGCTTGGCATGTGAAACCTTATAAGTAAACCTCCTTTGTAAGAAAAAAAATAATCTTTTGCCAAACATATCTTATAGGGCTAAAAAAGATAAGACGGAAAATCCTAATTTATAATTTTTCTACTTAAAAAAATAAGTGAATAAGTAAAATTTACCAAACATGCTAAGTGAGTGCCAAAATATGCTCTAAGGTTCAACAACTATTTTTTGATTAATATAAGAAATAAAGTAAAAAATCTTTGTCATCCAAAAATTGTTCAAATTGAATAATTACATGCCATTGATTAGTGTTGACTAATTGTGTTTGAGTAATAGCATATATTCAAAAATCCAGGACTAGAATATTAATTGCTTATATGCGATGGAGTATGGGAATTTCAATGGAGGATATTCTATGTGTCACGTCCCGCTTCCCAAAATACCCGGGAAACGGAACGTGAACAAGCCCGCGACGTTTTAGATTGAGAAGAAATATACACTATTATTTTTTTTCTTTTCCTTTTCTTTTCTTCTCAATCCAATACGCTAAGCGTCTAGAAATAAATACAATGCGAAGTCACAGGTCCCCGATCACAATCAGCAAGAATATAATAGACAAACTCAGAATAAAATAATACATATCACAAATGAATAACATCCAAGACATAATATTCAGGTCAAACATGCCCTTATACATATCTGAACAAAGAATACTAGAGAAATGTAAAATACAATGATCAGGCGGAAAAGAAATGCTACAAGTAAACTAACATCATCGATAACTAGAGGGAATAACTAAACTTCGGCTTCTTCTTCTGCTTCATCTACAAGGCACTCCTGCTGAGAATCCTCTGGCTCTGGCGATCTCCCAGCTGGACCTGTTCTTCCGCTAAGTCTGACGTACACAAAAGAAAACAGGTGTACGTCAGGGTGCATGGCACACGGCAAGACCCCACAAAAGAAAAGAATGAACGAAAACCCAAGCGGAAAATGATATGATAACCGAAACGATAAAAGAACGTGCAACTGGTAATCCAACAAAATCACATGCAATCCACTACCAAAACATGATAATCATAAGAATCCGTAAATCAAACGGGTAACGAGATCATGCAGCTAGCGATCAGAATAATCATCCAAGTAACAGGGCATACAATAGATGGAATTAATATCTAAAAATCTACAACTCGAGACGTAGAACGTCGAGCGAAATAATCCAAACAAGGAAACCCTCAGGTATATACCATATGTCTCAAATTACAGATAATTAAATATTAATGACAAGTCAATAAGTAATGGGATCTTGCAAGCAACTAAATAATTGAGAGCAGATCTGAGAATTGAATGATAAGTCAAGAGAGTATCGGGATCTTGCCTCGGGTTGTGTCAAACGATTTGACGCTGTCAGTGCGACACGTCGGCGCTGAAGGGGCGACGAATCTGACTGAGTTGGTCGGCATTGACGGCGGGGCAGCGACGGGGATCTGAACGACGATGTCGGCGGGGGTTGTTAGAGGTAGCGGGTTCGTGGGCGTGGCGAGCGAGGCCAGCTGGAACAGATCCATGGTCGGATCTGAGCGGTGGAGTTCGTCGGCGTTACGGCGGTTCGGCAGGCACGGCGTTGAGCTCAGGGAGCGCGACTGGCGGAAGGAAGGAAGGTGGCGACATAGGTTGTAGCGGGGACGAACCTGGTGTGAGCTCGAGTTTGGGCTTGGTCGGAGAGCGTCGGAGGGGATGGTGGCCGGCGGTGAGCATGGGAAGGGGAGGCGCTCGGGTCTGTTGAGGGCGAGGGCGGATGAGGCCGGTGCGGTGGTGATGGAGGCGGCGGAGGGAGAGGGAAGCGACTGGGGGGAGAGGCTGTGCTGCAAGGGGGAGGCGGTCGGACATGGCGGTGGTCGGAGCGACGAGGGAGGGGCTGGTGCACGGAGACTGAGGGAGAGGGCGGAGGAAGGTGGTCGGAGCGGAGAGCACGGGAAGGACGCGAACGTCGAGCGGGGTGCGGGTGGCTACGATCTAGTGGGGTTGGTGGCGGTGGTCGTCGGCTGTTTGACGATCTGAGAGAGGAGAGAGAAAAGAAAGAGGGGGCGGGCATCTTGAATAACGAGAGAGAGAGATGTATAAATAAATAAATATATATAAATATATATATATATTATATATATAATATATATATATTATATATATATATTATATATAGTAATATATATATATATTATATATATATATATTATATATATATATTATATATATATATATATATATATATAATATATATAATATTAGGGTTTAGGGTTTAGGTATAATAATAATAAAATAAAATAGTTATGGGTACTTAAAAATTAAACTAATTACGAAATAATTATCTACAATTAAAAACGTACCTGTTGTGCTAATACAACAGTTGATACGAAACTGAAGAAATAATACTATAAATTGTACAATTAAACAAGAATAATTAATAAAACATATAATTATTTATTTTAAAAATTAAATAATTATGGGATAATTATATACACAGTAAAACGTAATAGTATCGCTAATACGATAATTAATACGTAACACTAGAAATAATACAACAAATTATACAAATAATACGTAATTAATAATACAATATATTATACAAAAATATACATAATAATAACAATAATACCACGTATTATTTAAAATGATACGTAATAGTATCGGTAACACAACGGATAAATTCTAGAAATATTTACTGCACTAAATAAATTTATAATATTTAAATCATTTAAATAAATATAAAACTTAGACTTTAAATCATAGAAAATTGTAGAAATTCGAGAAAAATATAAATACTCTTTTTAAAAATCATAATTAAATATTTTAAAATTCTAGAAAATTATTTTAACTAGTATCAAAATTCATGGTCCTTACATTCTACCCCCCCTTAAAATAAATTCCGCCCTCGGAATTAAACCCAAGGACAGAGATATGGAAAGAGAGTCTCAACCCAACGCATATAGAGAAGAATTCAAAATAAATTACATGTTTATAAGCAAAGGGGAATGTAAGACAAAAACAACACAAGATGAGATACAAGTTGTGACAACTAAGATATCGCTATCGCATCTTAGACTCGCAACAAAATCCAAGCAAATACTATAATACAAACATATTTAACTGTGTGAACTTGTTACACAGTACTTGTAAATATATAAGAAATTTAATCATTATAAGGTATAAGATAAGCAATAACATAGAATCAAAACAATAGATACAATATAAATAAACAATCATATAGAGTGAATCATGCAAATAATATACAAGCTTTCATAGAAACAAAGCAGAAACATATTAAGTAAGAATAAAATCAAGTAAGAACAATAAATCTAAAGCAAACACAAAAGTAAGTCAAATAAAATAGAAACAGACAGAAACATAACAACATAATGAGAAAAGTCAAAAATTCTAAAATACATAACAGTTTAAACAAAACATAATAGCAGGGTATAACAATGGTCAATCAAAAACAAAAAGAAATTTAATTATGAAAAACACAATCAATACAGGTTCAAACTAAGATATTAAAAACACAATGTAAGATATAAAATTAATTAAAGCGAGTAAACGAGCAAAAACAAACATCAACAGGATCATATAACAAAATAGAATGATATAATAATAAGTATAAATCAAAGATAATAGGAAAAACAACCCTAAAACAATTAGAATAATAATACATACAAAATAAACACAAATAAAAGAAAACATATTTAATTGATGAAATGGTGAAAAATAGTCTGAAACATAGAAAAGATACAAAGACAGTCAAGTATAAATAGCTAAACACAATTATTAAAATAGTTATACAATCAATTAATCATGTAAAGCATTATACAAAATTTAGCAGATAAATAATTCATTACACAAATATTAGGAATTTAAAAATTGTATACACAGAAATTAGAATGCGGCAAATAATATAATTATGTAAAAATACGCAGCACAATGCAAGTGGAATATTAGAAGGTAATTGAACATAAACCAAAAAGATATGATATACAAACAATACAAAGTAGATAATCATGGAAGGATAAGATGATATGACACAACAACATATAAGAAATGAATTATATATAGTATATCATATCAAAAATAAAATAAATAATTATAGTCATATATCATAGCAATAATTATCGAAAACACACACTTTATGTAAATATTATGACTAAATAAATGAAACAGACAACCTAAACAAAGAACAAAATATAAAGCAAATATTAGAATGAATAAGAAACTGTATATAGAAGATAAGTAAACCTAAACAAAGAACAAAATATAAAGCAAATATTAGAATGAATAAGAAACTGTATATAGAAGATAAGTAAACAAAACATAAACATAACTAAGAAAGATATTAGAATGAATAAGAAACTGTATATAGAAGATAAGTAAACAAAACATAAACATAACTAAGAAAGATAAAATAATTGATAAATTAAATCAAACAATAATGTTACATATAATTGGAAGTAAAGAAGGAAATGAAATATACTAAATGAAACTATTTTATACATAATAAACAAGCTAGCAAGTTAATAATACACTTATAATATAATATACAATAGCAGACAATGTAAAATGACTGAAATATACTAAAACAAGATAATAACACAATATTACTAGAAAAGCACCAGATATAAGACAAGAATGCAGAACAATTAGGTAGAAGGATAATAAAGATTATAATAAGGGATACAAAATATACATAATCACAATTGAAAATAACATTAAGAAATAAACATAGATAGAAACACATCAAGACATATAAACAAACAAACA